CACATTCAGGATAACTGGAGTGGTTGGAAGACAGTCATTCAGCCTCAAATTATGAAAAAGATGTTAAAAGTAAAAAGCCACCAAACCTGTTAACGTCAAGGAAGTTTCTAATAACTTCTAATCTTCTTGTGTTTTTTTAAACTAAGCCATAAAGCTAGCTTTTGGGTTTACTTTCTTTAGTCAAAGGTAGCAGAAATTCAGTATGAAAGGAAATTCAAAAGTAGAAGCTGGAAAAATCAGAACAGGGATAATAATCGAGAACGTGGTCCCGATTTTGAGTTCAACAGATTTCTTCTTTTAAGAGAAATCGAGATTTAACTGAAATCAGTAAAAGACTGATTGTGTGTGCATGGTTACTCATTTGTCTCTAGGGTTGAACTCACACTTCATATTGGAAAAATGTGTGCATGCTCATTTATATTATCTTTTTTTTAATTACTTGTAATCAGTGGTTTCATTTAACAGATAATTCCAATTTTTGTTTATTTCATTCAGGAAGAGGATCACCTTTTTTTGCAAGGCAGAAAATAATTGAAGAAAGTTTATTCTTTTGTTCCCTTGCAAATTACAGATTATACCCTCTGATTTCTTAAAAAAAAATTTGTCCTTCCCTTATTTTAGACAGAATGGCTGACTTTTGCAATCTAAATTAATGTTTGCTCATTAATTAGGCAACTCTGTTGACTGACTTTCACATGTATCTGATAAGTCTTCTGAAACAAATAGAATATGCCCCCAAAAAATCACCCCTTTCCCTATGGGAGGAGATTCCTCAGTTATCAGGATTAATTAGTTCTCTTGTTGTCACATGAAAAGAAGTTGTACCCCCCAATGTAGGTCAGTGTGAGGGTAGGCTGCTGATGGTCGCTTAGTGACAGGCACAATGATAAGTGAACGTGTCCTGTTGAGCCATGACCCTTCAGAAAAGACAGTGTCAAGTAAAATGCCCAAGAAGGTACATAGAAGGCATAATCCGCTTCTAAATATTGACAGTAGGAATTTCCCTGCTATTCTCCTTCCTTTTTTTTTTCTGGTAAACATGTCAAACTCTATTGCATTTGTACTCTACATCAGTTTTGAAGCATTTAAAAATGTAAGGAAGCTAATGACCCATGAATAGATAGGATGCCAAATAAAGCTATTTTTCTCCCAAGTCTTAGCATCTTGCTGGTAAAAGCATTGTCTTGCATACTTGTAAAAGCAACAATATTGGCTTGAAATAAGATCTTTTTCTTCAGCTTTTTGTAATGAAAAACTAAATAAATGGATATATAAAAAATCTGATATGTCATTCTAAATACGCTGATGTTAGGTCTCGAATATTGATATGATTAATTAACTCCAGTATTAACTGCTGGAGTTAAGTGTCTAAAATGTACTTGGAATCAATGATGAAATTCTGTCTTATATCAATAGGAGCAAAGTTAGATGAATACTAAACACTCCTTAAGATTCTACACACAATATTTACAAATACTGTGATGTCTTTTAGATATACGTAATATGTGTAAAAGGGCAAAAGCTTGAATCTATGTCCAATATATCTGGGTTTCTTTTTTGCCTGAAGGATGGGGTGAAAAGATATGGGTTTGGTTTTTTTTTTTAATTTGATTTTAATTATTCTGAGGCAGATTTTCTGACAGACAGGCTTCCAGACTGTCTTGTTTTGTGTGCTTAATTTAAGAGAGATCTCGAGATTTCCATGTGGACATCTTTGCTTATGCCACTGTAGAGTTACCAAGAGAAAAACTTATAACGTTTAGAATGGTTTCTTGCCCTTCAACTTTGGCAGACTTTAAAAAGAACAGCAGCCCACATTCCCAGGGCTGGTGTCCTGGTCACAGCACGGGTCAGGCACGGGCACGGTGCTGCATGGCTGGTGTTGCTCCTGGACAGGGTGCCGGTGCTGGTGCTGAGCAAAGCTGAACACTCAGCACCGCAGTCATGACCAGGCACTGCAGACTTGCTCTTCTGCCTTGCTCTCAACACGTCACTCACATGGATTTTCCACCTTTCCATCACTTTTACACTGGAAGCATCCTACATGTTGCTCTCTAGCACCTGGGTTGAGTGTTGCAACTCTAGCCGCTGGGCTTTGATCCTGATGGGTTCCTCTGGCAGACCATTACTGGTGTTTTTTTCATACATATTGAACTGTTCGTAAGCACTGTTGCGTGCTTTCAGCTTTTCTAGAGCCTGAAATAAGGAGCAGTTCAGGGAAGCTTGAGGCCAGGTTCCCCCCTGAAGTACGGAAACAAGATTCATAAAGCTGGATATAAATGCTGCCTTCTTGGGAGAGCATCTGGGCCTCAAATTCTAGGATGACAAGAGGAATACAAATGAAATGCAGACACATGGTAGTTTCATGAAACTGTCAGATTGTTTAAGTTGGAGAACATTGAGAAATCTTCTCAACCAAAGTGCCTGGGTTGCTCTTCGAGAAGCTGCCTAAGCTCTTGTAATGTCTTATCTCAATTTCTCAGCGTTTAACTTCAGGGACATTATTTCAGTACAGCAAATGAGTGGACTCATAGACTGTAAGCATCTATGGGAGACTATCCCATAAAAAGCACAGTGTGCTCTTTGGCAGACCCAGGATTTCAGAGCTGAGATCCATAAATGGTAGGTGAGAAAAATGTATGTTTGCAATAGATCACATAACAAATTGCTTCTTCAAATATTTGCTGCATCTTTTTTCTCCCCTCTTAACAGCTGGCAGAATATATTCATTTCTAGCTAGACAAATCACAGAGGAAGTCTCTGTATGTGCACAGTACCACATACATTAAAATTTATGGTAATATCTGTGGTGCAGTTCAGGGGACCTCTTTATTCTGAAAACTTGTTATGCCCTTGCTTGAAGCCTGTTCAAGTCAGCTGTAATTTACATCTATGTTTAGGTGTTCCCTTTAAATTTTGTTTTGAATAGGGATGGATGTTAGTATATACAGGAAAACTACTGGAGCCACAGCTTAAATAAGATATACAGGGCTAAAAAGAAAAATGCAGATACATGTAACTAACTTAGATGCTGAGGGTTAGTTAAAAGTTAGTTAACCCCTACAATGTACATTTCCTATATTGCTAAGGAAGAGAAACAGGTCCGTGAAGACCTCTATCAAACAGTTTTGCAGACCTCATCATCTATTTGCTTCTTTTCATGGATTGTGCTAGGTAGTCCCAGAAGGTGATTTAGACCTCTTGTCTCCACTGATGTTACAGGAATCAGTAGGATACTGACAAATGGAGCACAGCTGGATCCTCAAAAAAACCCCCAACAAAACCCAAAACAGCAGATGAGGGCAGTGCCTCTTTACGTTTTGTACAAAATCCTCATACTTTTAGCAGCTCTCTCCAAAAGTAGAGACTTGGCTTCTAGGTCTTTCTCATACTGAAGTAGTTCAAGGCCACATCTCAGAACAAAGTTTTGATACTCAGCGCCTAATCTGAGGCTACATCTGCTGCTGGGTGAAAGCTGATGAATTTGGAGCAGCCGTTGACTTTGGAGGGTTTACACAGATGAAATTTAGTCACCAATCTCAGCCAGAGTTGGTGTCCAAAAGTTCCTTCTATTGTCAACAGCAGAGGGAGGACTTTGCAATGGGTGATCCATAGCAGCCAAATCAGGTTCATGTATTTCTACTACGTTTGGTGCATACAGCTTGTTCGTATTTGGCTGTGGCAGGGACCTCTTGGAAGGGCTGAAAATAGCTAAACTGAAACTGTACTTGACTGAGTTCTAGCGGAAAATCTGCATTAACCTTGTTTACATGATGCTGCTTCTCTCGTATGTTGACTAAGAAATATTTTCTTTTGGAGTAGTGTCATCTGGGGTACTCTCTCACAACACTGAAATCTTAACAAATTGCACTCGTGCCCAGATTTAGACTTTGTATTATAAGGTTTTTAACTTTAACTGGTTCAAAATATTTTTTTTATGTTCCTAGGTTCTGGGACACTTTTCTGTCAGTGTGAGGGCAATGAGATGGATGAAGGACTGTTTCTTCTCTAAGGCATGCATTTCTGTCTGTTTGCCATGAAAGCTTTTGTGGCCATAGCCTATTATGGGGCAAAGATAAAACATTGTGCCTTTCCAACACTTCCTGGCTTGATGAGAAGGAAGGTCCAGTGTTCCTCTAGTCTTCTGACCATGGAGCTTTTTCATGGACTTCCTAAAAATTGCTTTCACATGGCCTGTAAGAAGCCTGCCTGGATGTTTTCAAGTGTCCTAAGCCACCTCATGTTATATGGACACCCAGGGTTTCACCCGTACTAGAATGGTCTGGCCATGAGCGGGGTCATGTTGGCACGCTCGCTTTCTCAATAAGCAGCAAATATGGTCTGGAGGGTGCCTTGATCTTGTTCTCAAAATTTATTGTAGAGCTGTCCAGTTACCTTTTGACACCACTTCACTGGTAGGAAGCGTGCAACTTGTGAGGGACCGTAGGTAACAGTGCTGTGACCTGTCAGGTCAGGAAGGAAGGGAAGATCCTTAATCCCCTTTCACTCCTTCCAGGGCAGTTCCAGCTTTACAGCAAGTTGTTTGAGTGAGAATTTGGTATCTTGGAGGTCAATACGTGGCTCTTGCCATGGAAGCAGCCGACTTTTGCCCTTCCCGTTGAAGGGGCTGCCATGGTGGCATTTCCTAAGGAAATGCAGCCAGCGGTGCTCGAGGGCACGTTTCCTCGGTTAGATGTGTAGCCGCAAGGTCCTGAACTTTCTTCACAGTGCGCTCAGTGAACAATTTGAGAGCAAAGCCATTGACCAAAAACATGCATAGCTTTCATTTCTACTTTCTTTCCTGAGTCATTCTCGTGGAAGATTATGAGAGTCCTGAGTCAGGGCAGCAGGATTTCTCTCAGAGGAAGAGAGTAGGTGTAGTGAGGGGGGACCCCATCTTATTTGCTTTCCCCTTCCAGTATAACATCATAAATGTGAGTGGACTGGAAACAGGATGATTGTCATTGTTAATGGTGTGTTTTTTTTCTTTGTTTTTCTAGGATCTAGTTCAGGATCAAAATTAAAAGTTCCTGAGCTGAGTATAAATGGCATACAGCACGTTGTTCAAGCAGGCCAGACTTTAAATCTCACCTGCAGGTAACCAGCTGAGTGGATTCTGATAATTTGGCTGGGAGTTCATACACCTGACACTTTCTTTATTTGTAACTGAAATTAGAAAAAAATGAAACCGTATATTGTGGGGAAAGGTGGGGAGTGAACTTCAATGGCAATTGTTTAATAGTTCTTTGTTGTTTCTGTTGTTGTTTTTGGAAAACAAGATAAAAGAGAACCCCAGAAATAGCCTGATATAATAAAAAAGAAAGCTTGGGAACTAGAGCTATATAATTGCAGCTCAACATAATTGTTTCTGCTTCCTTATCTGTATTTGCAGGGGGGAAATGGTTCATTCATGGTCTTTGCCTGAAACTCTAAGTAAGGATAGCAAAAGGCTGAAAGTAATTAAATATGCCTGTGGAAGGAATGGGAAGCAGTCCTGCAGCAGTCTGACCTTGAGCAGAACTCAAGCAAGTGACACTGGAAACTATAGCTGCAAATACCCAACAAGTCCAGTGAAAAAGAAGAAGGAATCTACAGTCTATGTATTTATTAATGGTAAGATTATGTTTTTTTAACACTTCTTGGTACCTGCAATTCAATACAGCAAATTGGATAAATAGGACAGTTCAGCTGTGGTTAAATACAGGGTTTTGAATGATATTTTCAGCCTTGCAAAATGTAATGATAATTTACCAGTTAATGTATGAAATCTGCTTTCTCAGAGCTTCCAAATACAAAAGCTAGTGTTTTATCTGTTAGGGAAAAAATGAAGAAAGAAAAAGACCCAATCCAGCCAGACTGCTAGAGTAAATAAAACTCCATGTGGAAGTAGACTAGAAGTGAATCTGTAAAATGGGTATCAGAGAACTCATATCTTACAGAGTTGGATGATGACTGATGAAAACCATCTATTTGGTACAATGTCAACTTTAACTTGTCTGTGTAAGATTATAGATTTCTAGGCAGCTGAAGGATGCCAAAGCTGTCTTAAATGACTGAATTATCTTGTGCTGTAGAAAATTATTATTTGCATGTTAAATCACATTCAGAAATGTAGTCCATGTTGCAGATCGTAAAAATCTAGAATAAATGGAATCAAACTAAACACAGAATTGTGTTGAGCAAACAAGTATTGTGTAATGTATGGGAAATGCTGGAATTAGGTCAGTTAGGGTCTAACAGAAATTGCTTTATGATCCTGTTTTCTTCCAGGATATTAATCAGACGCTTCTCAGAACAGTTGAATTCAATAGACACAATAATAAAAGAAGAAATTAGAAGCACCTTTAGTGATTTAATTTAATTTTATATTTTAGTTTTTCTTTATTTTTACAGAATAAAATTAATAGATTACTGTAAGATATTAGGATTCACAGATTTTGAAAGGCCATATTACAGAGAATGTGCAACTGGAAGTTTTCCAAATTATGTGTCTGCTGCTTCTAACGAGTTCACATCAGATTGAATTAGCCTTTGTTTTCATTTTGTGACATGAAGAGTGGGACTGGTGCTGTGAAAAAGCAGAATGAAGTGGACCTCTTACTACAGTGATAGAACATAAGATAGCTCCCCCATTATTGTGCGTTGCTTTATTGAGAATTATTGAATAATTCATGCCGTTCATCCTGCTTTCCTTCATCTGAAATGTATCGCAGAGTGTTTTTCTCACCCAATTATTTTCATATAATTCACTGGATATCCAACTACAGATGCAACCATGGAAGCATAACCAAAGTAGGTTATTCATTTAGTGACCAACATTTCCTGCTGCCTAGGAAAACTTACAATTTTCTTGGATGACTTTTGCAAGTTTCCCATCATGGGACCTTCTTGAACTTCCCACCTTGGATGTCTTCCCTATCTGAGATCTACCGACAATCCTCTCCATTCACCACATAAGAAGAGCAAGGATGGTTGTGACTCTGACTGAGAACCTCTTTGCTAAAAGCACTTTATGATATAAGAGGTTCCTTTACATTCTCTTGGTCTCTTTACTGTTTGAAGCATTAATTTTTCTGCATCCTCAATTTCTACAGATGGAAGATACAACCAGTCTTTCTAACTCTTCACTGCTTCCTGAGTTGTATGTAGCTTGCTTGCATCTGAAAGACATCCTCAATTAGATGTATGTGAACCAAGGTTATCTGTCTAATTCACATGGTCATGGAGGAGAAACGTATCACTGGAGAAAAGTGTCTTGGTTTTATTGATTTTTCAAGGACATTCAGTCATTAAATATTGATGTCACTGTTGAAGATGGGATTAGATTACATTTATGCTCCTACCTCACTTGCCAAAAACCAGTAAAATGTTTAAGAGGTAAACCTGTATCAAGCTTAGACCTCTTTGGCATCTTAATTTTATGAATTTGACAATCCTTTTGATTGAAATCCAATTTCTCAACACTTAAGTGTTGATTGTGTCCTAGTAAGCACAGATGAGTATTAGGGCAAACTACTGATAATGAGGGAGACTGCAAGGTAACTGCTCATTTAATGTCTGTCGAAAATGTCACTGCCCTAAGGAAGGGAAAGGTATATTGACAGTTCCAGGAAGAAATGTTGGGTAGGTTGGTAGTCAGTATCTTCTTTCTTTTCAAAACTCATCCTTTCTGATACGTGCAGCACTAGCATTTGGAAAGAAAATACTTAAGGAATACCTTAATATAAGTCATTGTTTCTGTGAACATGCATGAAATTCAATTACCTGGCTCAAGTAGGGGTGAGATGTGGTAACAAAACCCGCTGTGAAGACTACCTTTCTTGAGTTTAGTTTTACTTTAAATGAATTTTTGGGTGCTTAGGAAATAAAACATTTGTAAAATTTGGGTCCCTCCTAGTTTTGTATTGTTTCCTGTGGCAGGACGTTGTGTCAGTCCATTTCCCATATTAGCTCCATGTGGATCACCGAGGTGCCTGTTTCCCATGTTTTAGCATGCTGCAAATGAGAACAAATAGTTGCTATTTACAAACACAGAATCTGAATCAGGAAAGTTGATATTGTTTGTACAGGAAGTCATCACTTATTGTTTTTAAAATGTTATTCATTTCCGTAATTAGAGTGATACTGAATATGAACTGGATTTAACAAAAAAACCCCCAACAATAAATCCAGTAAGTCCTTTGGTCCTTTGGTTCCTCTGTATGTGATGGCAGAAGATGAACTTCTATAGTCAAAAACAAGATGCAAGATGATGAGAAGGAGACTGCAAGTCCCTCATGCCCCAGGATGACTTGAAGCATTTCTTTAGTCCTGTGTTCAGGTGATCAAGAACAGGCAGGCTGGTGACTTCTTTTGCAGGAGCTAGTCCTTACACCACCCTCTTTCAGCTGGAGAGGTCACTACTGAGTTGCACAGGGGAGTGAGTGCACAGTGTGTGCCACAGCTACTCTTGACCATACACAGCTCAGGAATTGAGACATCAAGCGAGGGAAATGAATTCTCTTACGAGCATTGGACTTTGCTCTAAGAAAACTGATGGCCCAACTTCCACGAGCCATGGGAAAAATCTGAAATGAAGCAAAGCCTCTTCGCCAATTTCTCCACTGTCTCGGACCCAAAACTGCTCAGATCTTTGTTTTGTTGGACAACTGTAGCCTAGTAGTAAAATGGAAAGATTTGTAATGAACTCTCACTGTGTATGTTGGAGTGAGGCATGGGGAATTTTCTGCTTGAAAAGAGATAATTATGGAATAAAGACATTTAAGAAACACCAAATTATCAGTAGGCTGTTTTGAAACCTATGTAGATTTTCCTGGGGACAGTGCTAAAGGCTTTTCTTTCTGCCTGGCTTTGTTCTGGTATCTCTGAGACAGTCTTCCGGTTGCTGGAGCTCACTTGCTTTCTTCAAAAGCATGCAGTTTTCTTCATTCTCTACTCTCATCATCTCTTGCCTTTGATCAATTTTTCCCTTGGAATGACAAAGGAAAAGCATGTAAGTCCAATTACATTGATATATCAAGGTTAGATTTTTGCAAGATTTTAAACAAAATTTGATTCAATTTGAAGTGTTGCTACTTCCTGTGATGAAGACAGCTTTCAGCTATTAGTATAAAAAAGTAATGTCTTAATTCTGCTGCAAGAGAGAATTCTTCTCTAAGTGAATTTGTACTTGACTTTAGGGTATTACCTCATTTCTTAGTCAATGTTCTCCCTCTCCTTGTCTGTCCTCACACTCCTGCTGTGCATGTCTTCTGACCACATGCTTTTCCTTACAAAATGAGACATGTGCTGGTACTTCAACCAAGCACCATTCAAAATATTCTGTTTTAAAATCAGACCTCTAGGCTGAGTCAGTTGTCTGTTCTCTTTCTGTACTTAACAGGTAGAAAAAAGGACCTCCTGGTACGTATTTCTTGTCACTGACTTTACAAGGTATCTGGAGAACAAGCTTAGAATAGATGTCTTGCTTTGAGACGATTTAAGTCAGGTGAGACAAATCAGAGCTGGGTAATTAAAGGTACAAGTCCTGAGAGTATTTGTACTCACTAATGCCTAGAAAGTCAAACATATCCACTAAATTTGGACATTTGGCTTGCTATGTGTCTCAGGTTGGACAGTCCAAAATTCAGGGCTTTAGCATTAGTGAATGGTTCAAAACGTAAGCCTCTGAAGTGCCAAATCATATGGGGGTTTGAGTGCATTTTCAAACTCTAGAGCTGTATCCTGCAAGTGCTGAGCGTATGGCATCTCCTTGGGAGGTCCTCTTGTTGACAGATAGCTGGACCCAGCCCCAGAACTGACACAGATTTAAGATTTAGCTTGAATGGATTGACTCCTGTAACCCTAAAGGTACTATGTTGCAGAACAGGGAGGGTATCAAAAGAGTTCCCCAAAAGGGAAGCATCAAAGTCAAAATCATTTAACAGGTGAAAACCACAGTAAGGCAGAATACCCTGAAAGCTAACAGAAAGGGAGATTTTCTTCTTTTTCCTTTTTCTTCCTCTTATTCAGAAATAAGGTACTGACAGAAGAACCTGCTGAGGCATGGGAAACTCTTCTTCCCCTGTGCTTTTTTTCTGTCTTTGCTTTTGGCACAGTTTTAACGTATGAGCATTATAGTTTTGGCTTACGCTGTCAGAGTCAATAATATGATAGCACGTCTGTTATGAAAAGGAAACTAGTTAAACTTAAGCTATGCTACAGCTGTATCAAGCATGTGGACACATTTTTAGTGTCTAATGAGGTTCCTGTTGCAAAACAGAGTCCTCTAGGACTTGCTGATGTCAATCATCTGTAACTGCCATGCTTTTGTCATTGCGTGTATATGAACTTTGCATTATAGTACACTGCGTTGAGCGGAGCATGTGTGGATGCCTTGGCAGCATCAAGGGCTGCACCAAGCACTAAACTCTCCAGGGTCGTCCTTCCTCACCAAGGCTTATAGCTGCTACTGAAACAGAAATATATTTCCAAGATGAACCATCATGAGGGAAGGATACATCTGAAAAAGTGTTCCTAATGTCCATTAGCCTTTCTAGAGATCCCTTTCTAAACATAGCAACTGCTCTAGTGTGGATTTCCTGGCTAATGTGGATAAGAATATTCTTCCTTAAGAGTTTTAACCGTGTTTTATGTGTGTTAGGGACCTACATCAATGATGGCATAGTATAACTAGCCCCAGAGGAAAACAAACAAACCCTGCCTAAAAATCACTGTACAATTATGCTAGCAATGCTTTGTGTCGGAATGTGCTCCAGATACAAAGTATTCCCCTCCTTTTTATTTTTACTTTTTTTTCCTGGACTTCTGTGATTATTAATTTACATCTCAAGTCTTCCTTCAAGGCTTAGAAATCATCTGAATTTGAAGAGTATTACTCTACAGGCTGAGAAGAGGCAAGAGTGGAAAAGCCCTTCTTGGAGATGTGTTATGCTTCCAGACATACAAAATTGGATTTATTTTTTTTCTTGAGGAACACAGACACCTACATGTGAGCAGGTTAAGTAGGTGCATTTCCTAGGGCATGATTCCTCTCATCGTAAAACAGATGTCTAAAACAGGTCAGATGAGTCCCATGGCAGAATTCCCCTTTCTCCCAGTGACAACACTAACATTTTGGCCACCTAGCTCAGTGAGAAACATCTATATTTTAGATAGGTAAGTGACATGAGAGCCACTCTTGGTGTGCAAGGTTCTCCTCGAATTATTTCTGAACAGCCCCACTAATTTAGCCAGGATAATTAAAGTTAGTTAGGGTGGATCCCTACGATGCAAAGGGGAATTTGGCAATTGGCCCATTAACTTTAATGAAGTTTGCATGTCTGTACGTTAGTGAAGACTTTGGTCATCTTCACGTGCATGAGAGAAAAGAGTGGTATGTGAATGTGAGGAAATAGTTTTGGCTCTTTCAGTCTGAAAAAAGTCGTAATGATGAGCCAAGTGTAAGTAGGTGCTTTGGCAAAACTTCAGAGGACAAACTTTCAGAGATTTCAAGGAGCTCAGATTTTCCTGCAGAGACTTTTCTTCTTGCAAATGTATGTTTAAGTACTCTGACTTACATAGCTCAGGTTATTAAAAACAAACCAAATCCAAGAACAGTAGCTGAAGCCTGTGGAAATAAAGAACCTCTCTATCTTTCCTGATTTTGGCATTTCAGTATTGGCTAATTTAGTTGTTTGTGCAAACCCCATAAATAGCCTAGTCAGGTTACTGATACCAGACAAAATATTGCTTGTGCTAAGTCTCTTATCAAGTTTGTATCGGCTGCCAACCAGCTTAATAAAAAGCTGCTATTTATGTTCTTTAACAATATAGCAAGTGACCTTCATGGATTTTGTGATTTTGTGAATGCTCTTTGTGGTTTCATGTTGATTGTAACTGAGAGATATTGTAAGGAACACAGTCAAACCAGTACACAGTCATTAATTCCAGGCACAATTTAAAAATACACCTAACTGAATTTTAAAGTAACCTTTAGCATACGCAAATATTCTGTCTGTCCATCTTTCACTTCGCTACCCTTCCAGGCAGCTCTGAAGCAAAAGAACAAACAAACAAAAAAACCCACAACCAAAAACCCAAACGAATATTCAAAAATCAAGGTCGACCCACTTAGATTTCCATTCCAAATCCCGATGGAGCTGAAAGTGTAACTTGGATGTGGCCTTCAAATAGGTCAATCCATGATGTTCCTTTTGTGTCTAGAGCTTTCTGAACATAAAAGTGACTGAAGCTGGCACAGATGACTGCTGGCAGGAGGTGAGGTCATCCCACATGTGCTGCCAGCCAGCTGTTCAGAGAAGGATGGATTTACCTTCCCTCAGAAAGGAATTTGGAGGAAATGTAGCAGGAGCCACTTGCAATAG